GTCTGTTTGAAGCAGTGTTGAGTTTGCCTTTGTCAAATGTTTTCCTCTTTCATTTATTATGTGAAATAATTTATTGAAAATGAAATCTATAGTTTCAGTTCTTTTGAAGTTTTGGTTTTTAACGTGATTTTTTTGTCGTCTATAGTTTTGCAACATTTTGCTTTAACTTTCTTATTTTGTCTCTTGCTTTGCTATAGACACATTTTTTGTGCTTGTTTGGATCATGGTTCACCTTATCCCGCTTTTGATGAGCAGTTTTTAGTTTTGTTTTAATGTAATTCTCTCTCTTTGACTGAATTCTTTTGAGAAGTTTCTTAGTCGTTTTCAACCTTGGTGTTGTTCAAGGATATACATTTGTTTGGCCTTGTTTTCTTAAGAAACTAGGTTGAAAGCTCATTTCAGTGCTAGATTTGTAACGCTTTTTCTTGTACATTTTCATAGGTGTTGAAGATTTTCTTAAATATTGTACCTTGTGCTCCCATTTTTTTGGTTTCACACCGCTCAATGGCCTATGGCCTAGTGCAAATAGTTGGGAGCCTGTTCAGTTATTTTATGATGTGCTAATCCAAGAGTTGGGGGATTAGTGTCTCCCACTTCGTTTTTATCTTCGAAGTTGTTTATTGTCCCTGATAATTCATTACCTTTTTTTCTAATATGTTTTCTCTTTTGTAACTTTACAGACTTCATTATATGCACCATTCTTAATTAGTTTGTTTTTGGCCTTTGCTTTTAGTTTGTGTTTCTGGCTTAAGGTTGTAACTTTTTTTAGTCTTTACTTTTGATTAAAGAGTTTATTCTTTGGAGTTGGTTAATTGCAGTTTGATTTTACGTTTATTGTATTATTATCAATTCTTTTGGGTCCTCTTTGTTGAAATTTTTTGTCGGTTTGGTCTCCTATCGCCATTAATTAAGTGTCCTCCGCGGAACTCTCATTTTAAAAGGTCTTCCCGTGTGAATTTCCGAAAGAAAAAAATCTGAGGAGTTGAGAATATAATACACTTATCCATATTAAAATTAAAAGATTGTGACGATTTTTAATGTTGGTTCTGCAGCGATAAAGTTGCCCTCTCCTACAGCATCGGAGCACGTACGTACGCGTATACTGCACATACCGTGCAATAGGCCTATATTTGCACCAAAAACATGGGTGGGTAAAACGCGGAACTCTCATTTTAAAAGTTCTTCCGGGTGAATTTCCGAAAGAAAAAAATCAGGGGAGTTGTTGAGAATATAATACACTTATCTAGATTAAAATTAAAACATTGTGACGATTTTTAATGTTGGTTCTGCAGCGATGAAGATGCCCTCTCCTACAGCATCGGAGCACGTACGTACGCGTATACTGCACATACCGTGCAATAGGCCTATATTTGCACCAAAAACATGGGTGGGTAAAACGCGGAACTCTCATTTTAAAAGTTCTTCCCGGGTGAATGTCCGACAGAAAAAATCTGAGGAGTTGTTGAGAATATAATACACTTATCCAGATTAAAATTAAAAGATTGTGACGATTTTTAATGTTGGTTCTGCAGCGATAAAGTTGCCCCCTCCTACAGCATCGGAGCCAGTACGCGTATACTGCACGTACCGTGCAATAGGCCTATTTGCACAAAAAACCTGGGTGGGTAAAACGCGGAACTCTCATTTTAAAAGGTCTTTCCTGATGAATTTCGGAAAGAAAAAAATCAGAGGAGTTGTTGAGAAAATAATACACTTATCCAGATTAAAATTAAAAGATTGTGACGATTTTTAATGTTGGTTCTGCAGCGATAAAGATGCCCCCTCCTACAGCATCGGAGCCAGTACACGTATACTGCACATACCGTGCAATAGGCCTATTTGCACAAAAAAACCTGGGTGGGTAAAACGCGGAACTCTCATTTTAAAAGGTCTTTCCGGATAAATTTCGGAAAGAAAAAAATCAGAGGAGTTGTTGAGAATATAATGCACTTATCCAGATTAAAATTAAAACATTGTGACGATTTTTAATGTTGGTTCTGCAGCGATGAAGATGCCCCCTCCAACAGCATCGGAGCACGTACGTACGCGTATACTGCACATACCGTGCAATAGGCCTATTTGCACAAAAAACCTGGGTGGGTAAAACGCGGAACTCTCATTTTAAAAGGTCTTCCCGGGTGAAGTTCCGACAGAAAAAAATCAGAGGAGTTGTTGAGAATATAATACACTTATCCAGATTAAAATTAAAAGATTGTCACGATTTTTAATGTTGGTTCTGCAGCGATAAAGATGCCCCCTCCTACAGCATCGGAGCCAGTACACGTATACTGCACATACCGTGCAATAGGCCTATTTGCACAAAAAACCTGGGTGGGTAAAACGCGGAACTCTCATTTTAAAAGTTCTTCCCTGGTGAATTTCGGCAAGAAAAAAATCTGAGGAGTTGTTGAGAATATAATACACTTATCCAGATTAAATTGAAAGATTGTGACCATTTTTAATGTTGGTTCTGCAGCGATAAATTTGCCCCCTCCTACAGCATCGGAGCCAGTACGCGTATACTGCACGTACCGTGCAATAGGCCTATTTGCACAAAAAAAACCTGGGTGGGTAAAACGCGGAACTCTCATTTTAAAAGGTCTTTCCGGATGAATTTTGGGAAGAAAAAAATCAGAGGAGTTGTTGAGAATATAATGCACTTATCCAGATTAAAATTAAAACATTGTGACGATTTTTAATGTTGGTTCTGCATCGATGAAGATGCCCCCTCCTACATACAGCATCGGAGCACGTACGTACGCGTATACTGCACATACCGTGCAATAGGCCTATTTGCACCAAAAACATGGGTGGGTAAAACGCGGAACTCTCATTTTAAAAGGTCTTCCCGGGTGAATTTCCCAAGGAAGAAAATCAGAGGAGTTGTTGAGAATATAATACACTTATCCAGATTAAAAATAAAACATTGTGAGGTTTTTTAATGTTGGTTCTGCAGCGATAAAGATGCCCCCTCCTACAGCATCGGAGCCAGTACACGTATACTGCACATACCGTGCAATAGGCCTATTTGCACAAAAAACCTGGGTGGGTAAAACGCGGAACTCTCATTTTAAAAGGTCTTCCCGGTTGAATTTCGGAAAGAAAAAAATCAGAGGAGTTGTTGAGAATATAATACACTTATTCAGATTAAAATTAAAAGATTGTGATAATTTTTAATGTTGGTTCTGCAGCGATAAAGTTGCCCCCTCCTACAGCATCGGAGCCAGTACGCGTATACTGCACGTACCGTGCAATAGGCCTATTTGCACAAAAAACCTGGGTGGGTAAAACGCGGAACTCTCATTTTAAAAGGTCTTCCCGGGTGAATTTCGGAAAGAAAAAAATCTGAGGAGTTGTTAAGAATATAATTCACTTATCCAGATTAAAATTAAAAGATTGTCACGATTTTTAATGTTGGTTCTGCAGCGATAAAGATGCCCCCTCCTACAGCATCGGAGCCAGTACGCGTATACTGCACGTACCGTGCAATAGGCCTATTTGCACAAAAAACCTGGGTGGGTAAAACGCGGAACTCTCATTTTAAAAAGGTCTTTCCGGATGAATTTCGGAAAGAAAAAAATCAGAGGAGTTGTTGAGAATATAATGCACTTATCCAGATTAAAATTAAAACATTGTGACGATTTTTAATGTTGGTTCTGCAGCGATGAAGATGCCCCCTCCTACATACAGCATCGGAGCACGTACGTACGCGTATACTGCACATAACCGTGCAATAGGCCTATTTGCACCAAAAACATGGGTGGGTAAAACGCGGAACTCTCTTTTTAAAAGGTCTTCCCGGGTGAATTTCCCAAAGAAAGAAATCAGAGGAGTTGTTGAGAATATAATTCACTTATCCAGATTAAAATTAAAACATTCTGATGATTTTTAATTTTGATGCTGCCTGTGTAAAATGCGAAACTCTCGGAGGCCCGTACCCATTGATCGCGTTGCCTGGGTAAAACATTGAACTATTAATACAGAGGGCCTTCCCATGGACTTGTGGAGGATATAAGACACTTGTCGACATTACAAATAAAACATTCCATCGTTCCATAATGTTACTGTTGTGCCCATTCTTGAAAATCACGCATTCTCGAGAATGGGCATGCACATTCTCGAGAATGGGCGCGCATTCTTAAGAATGAGCGCCCATTCTTAAGAACGAGCACGCGTTCTTAAGAATGAGCGCTCATTCTTAAGATTGGGTGGGAATATCACGTGCACAATTTATGAATTTTGCCCAATCTTAACAAACATTGCACGACATAATTATGTTAAATGAATTGTATAGCGGTTAAAAGGGAAACAATTCATATAAAGAGGAAAGAAAATGTGCTATGCTTCTGTACTCGTATAACTACGATAATTTGAATCAAATTAAACCTGTTATTATTGCTTTTTTCTGCCCACTATGGGAAGTTTTGTAATAACGGAGGACTGGGAACTAGTCTGGGAAGTGCTTTGTTTAGGCTAGACAAGTTACAAGTCCCTGCATGTATCATATGCGTGCCACGAAAAAAAAAACGATGTCCAGAAGCTGCCAAAATTGCTCTTTTGACTAGATAGAATCCAGCTCTGCGATGTTATGGTGGGATGGGATGTGAACAATAAATTGGTGGCAATTTAAATGGGAAATAGCATTAGCACTATGGGATGTCGCAGTATTCATTCTCATTCTTCACATTCTTCATTCTTACGTTCCCCCCCCCCGCTTTTATTATCCCAAAAATCAGAATTCTTTGCACTAGTATTATTATGTCTCTTATATTTTCCCGGTCCCCCCCCCCATATTAATACGCCTTTACTTATCATATCCACTCTACTTTTCAGCGCCTTGCGTTGCAACAGTATAATTATTGAGAATCAGTGAACGAGGATTCAGCTAGACTTGCCAAGCGCAGCCGGTGCTCGGCATCGACAAGACCGTTATCTTGTCGCGCATTCTCGAGAATGTTTTTTGCAAGATTGAGCAAGGATCCAGTTGCACATTCTCAAGAATGTGCATGCCCATTCTCGAGAATGCGTGATTTTCAAGAATGGGCACAACATTACTTCTGCAGAATTTGTTCTGCAGCGGTACATCATCCCCCTATCAACTGTTTTATACACGTGCTTCACAGAGCACCGAGTCTCAGCTGCACCCTTGGTTTGTAAACGGCATGTATCCCTGTACAGCATGTGTTCTGCACTGTTCTGCAAATACTACACACAATTATTATACGACGGCACAAACAGGTGGGAAATCTTTTATTTTCAATTCATTTAAGGGCAGATTATGACGATTTTGGGACTTATTAATGAGATTGGGCCCTTGCTGTACTTTCAAAGCCAGTATTTCATCTTAATTTAGCGTTTTATTACCAATTCTGCAGAGTTCCGCAGAGTTCTGCACGTTCTGCAAGTTCCGCAAAATACCAATTGCCCGTTCGGGGGTAGCTGGAGTTACAGCCCTAAATTTTATCATTGGGTTGTCATCTAGGCCTAGATGATAACCCAATGATAAAATTCAGGGCTGGGTAACTTTTATCATTGGGTTGTCATCTAGGCCTAGATGACAACCCAATGATAAAATTCAGGGCTGGGTAACTTTTATCATTGGGTTGTCAATCTAGGCCTAGATGACAACCCAATGATAAAATTCAGGGCTGGGTAACTCCAGCTAGTCTGAGTCCAACATTACAAACTTTTTATGTCGGCTAGTAATAGTATGGGCATGATGGGAGGACATCTGGCATTTGTCCAGCCCCATAAATGTAGCATTTTTTCTGGACTACCTCCGTAAATAACGGAGGTAGTCCAGAAAATGGCGATCGTGTAGTGTAGGGCCCGGGCCCGGTTCCTATAAGGGAACAAAATCCACTTAAAAACTGTTGGACCTAACCTACCAAACTAGTTGGTGACATTCTCAATAAAAAGTCATAGATAGAGGGCAGGGTTTTGATTTTTTGAGGGAAATTTGGGGGTAAAGTGACGATGACAGCACGGCGACAACACGCGACCCGAAAATAAAGATGGCGATCACCGCGCGATGTACCGTGAGCTAAGCTCGCACGGCACGCTGAAAAATCGTGATTTCTACCCCAAGAATCTGTTCAAAATTGCAAAAATTGTCATTAGAATTGAGAAAATTCTTCTTTTGATTGTAAAGGTGATTTTTGAGCAATAAAAAAAATATTTTTAACTTTCATTTGATCAAAACAAAACAGGGGCCCTACACTTCACGATCGCCCAGAAAATTGGCCACATTTAGGCCTATGCAGTGGCGTCGCCAAGGGGGGGCCAGGGGGGGCACGTGCCCCCCCTGGAAAACCTAGTGCCCCCCCCCCGAGTGCCCCCCCCATCTAAGATTTGGGTTGGTAAAAAAATATTTATATAATTTGTTATATTCATAATTCAACTCCCATCATCTGAGTTGGTTAAATAGCAATTTCTGGAGATATCTTCAGATCGAATTTAGTATCAAATGTGGCACCATTTTGCATCTAGCCCATCCTCCGTATGCGAAAAGTTTCCAAAGGGGAGGGGGGCACCCCCTCCCCTTAGACCCCTCCCCCAGGATGGCGATCCGTATCCACCTAAGTGCCCCCCATCAAATGCTGGTGCCCCCCCTGTGCCCCCCCAGACTGAAAAGTCTGGTGACGCCACTGGGCCTATGGGGCTAGCATTTGTCTAGTTGAACACATTTAGTGGTCGGATTGTAGGCAATTTCCCTCCTTCAATGCATATCTTCACAGAGCTCTGAGTCTGACTTTGAGTTAGTGGTTTAAACCCAAATGAGTTCTAACATGAAGTGCGTGATGTGTGTGATGGGATTTACTGTGATTCACATAGCATTCTTTCAATTTACTTGTCTGCAGTTCTTTCTGTGCTTGTTGGAAGGTTTACAGTGAAGCAAATGTCGTGGGGAGGTCAACAGCCAGCGTACAATCCAAACTATGTGAGTAGTACTTGTAGACAATGATGCGGTCAGTCTCAGTTGTATTCAAGTAAAAATGACAACTGGTCCACTTTGCGGTCTCATAGAAACTTTGTATACTGGATCTAAAGCTGGCGACATTTCAATGTGAAATGGATAATTGTTTGTTTTAAAATGTAATGGGTGTGTTGGTAATAGTCTTACCCAAGTCTAGATCCTACACATAAGTGTCAGTTTGGGGGAGGGGGGAACCACAAAATCTATGCAAACAGTACAAATTACTTATGTTTATCATCACTTTTTCATTGCACAAATATCTCCTTGTCCGAAAATTTGGGACTCTCAATACTGTGTATGAGAGTCCCAAAACTGAAGGTATTGTAAACATGCAATGCAAGAAAACAGACTGGCATCTGAAACAGCCAGTCCAACAACTCTTCAGTACTGCAATCAAAAACTGTCAGCTGACTGTGCCAAAAAAAAACCCATTAGGATGTCGAGTACTAGGTCACATTTTTACACATTTCTCCATAGTTAGGCACTAGACTAATGACAAGGAATGAAGAAGTCAGTCTTGTCAAACAGTTGGACCATGGATGGACATGTAGAAGTTTAGCCTTTAGCCTCATTTTGAAATCACTTGACTTCCCTCTCATGTGCAAGCCACAGCCAAATATTGAAGAAAAGTCTCCTCTAAAAATGTATTGAGTCTTCAAACTCGGTTGGTGAAATACTGAGGAACTTTTCTTTGCCCAGTGACAGTTTTGGAAAAATTTGTTGGCTAAAGAGTGAGTAAAGTTGGCCTGATCTTCTTTTGCATCGTTTTGAACACTTAAGGTCCCAGTCTGGGTATCTCCTAGAGTTTTCGTAGCGGTTGTTTTGTTTTGCTTGAATAAAACATTGTAATTGAGACAATTTATGATAACATTTCTGGCATTTCAAACTCACTAATGAAATCTTGACAGTTGTTGATAATGATGATATGATGCTTACACTGTAGCAAGCCCATGGGCAACGCCCCCCAATGCAGGGCTATCACCCATCCCAACCACCACCCCATCAGATGAGTTATGGAGCCCCTCAACACGGGTATGGAGCTCCTCCCCCTCAGTATAACCCTCAGCAATATCCTGCAGCCACTGGTCAACAGCCTGGATATCAACAGCCTGGATATCAACAGCCTGGTATGCCACCAGGAGCAGATCCAACACTGTGGCATTGGTTTCAGGTATGCATCATACATTTATTGGTACTATTGGTACATGTATATCATTTAGAAGTTTATAAATCTGCTTTTAGCATCATAAAATAGTTGTTGAGCAAAGAAGGAGGGCTGATTTACCTACTGAACTATCCATTTAACAATTGTTGACTGCTGTGATGTGGGATATGTACCCGAGGCAAAGCCGAGCGTGCTATATGCGCCCCGAGGGGGTTAAATACGCCATATCCCACATCACTATGCAAGAATAAGTTAAATCACTGCTTTGTAACCTTTGATAACTGCAGGATTTCCTGCCAGACATGAGACTGAGGGGTTGCAGTTCTCAATCATGAGTACACAGGCAAGCCCTACTCGCACACGTGCGGCCAGGTCCCATATGCACGCGCAACACATGCAATATCGTATGCTTGGATACTGTAATTTCATTGCTCAAGAACAGTCATGTGTCCTGTCTGTAAAAGTGCATGCATGTATACAGTGGTTAACCTCACAATGCGCACGTGTAGAACCTCCACACGCACTTGCAACTGAGAACTGCATGCAATGCGCAACTGCCCAGTCTAGTGTCCAGCAGGAAAGCCTGCAGTAATCAAGGGTTACACCACACTAAAAGTAAAGGTAAATGGGGACGAACCTGTGTTCACAGGAACAGAGTGCCCAGCTCTCTTTCAAAGCGATTGGGCCAGACTCGAGTCCATGAAATGTAGCTGTGGGGGGATCGCCACACCTCCTCCACAGCGAGTCTGTTACATGTACCTTCCCAGCATTGAAAAATGCCGGTACCCATTTAACACTTGGGTTGAGAGGAGTAATTGAGGTAAAGCGCATTACTCAAGGGCACAGCACGCATGGCCACGGCGGGGCTTGAACCCACAATCTCATGATCATGAACCCTTAGCCCTACCGCTAGACCACACATCTGAATTAATTTATTTCTCACATACATTAAAGTAGTAAGTTACAACCATTTATCGTTTGACTTATTGGCACGAAATATCCCCATGGGTCCTGCGGATGACAGCAGAGGAAATCAGTCTGGCTTTAACCATCTTATTCCAACTATGCCTTGATACTGGGGTCGTTCCCAAGCATTGGTTATGTGCAAACGTAACGCCTATCTTCAAAAAAGGAGACAAAACTCAGCCAGCAAATTATAGATCTGTCAACCTAACTGCAGTGTGCAGTAAAATCATAGAACACATTCTCCAATCTAATATCATGAACCATTTGGACTCACATAGTATACTATGTCAACAACACGGTTTTCGTAAGGGTCATTCCTGTGAAACTCAACTTCTATCAACAATACAAGATATAGTCCAAAACCTGGACAGAAAACATAAAGTGGACATAATCATAATGGACTTCCAAAAGGCCTTTGACAAGGTTCCCCACAGGAGATTACTTCTGAAGTTACAGCAGTATGGGATAAGAGCAAAAATCCATAAATGGATTGAAAGTTTCCTGACCCAACAAAAACAACGTGTTGCAGTGGACGGTGAATTCTCCAAATGGGTGGACGTAGAGCCAAGTGTGCCACAGGGTCCATTCAGGACCATTGGATTTTCTACTGTTCATTAATGATCTCCCACACGGCATTGAATTGACTGTCTGCTTGTTTGCTGATCATTGTACAGTCGGCTCCCGTTATAGCGAAAACGGCTAGAACGAAATTCCGGTTATTACAAACAAATACCTTTGGTCCCGGCAAAATTGTGCACATGTCTATGGGGAAAATTTCGCTTAAGACGAAAACGGACAGTACGAAATTCCTGTTAAAGCGAAAGGTTTTGGCGACCCGGTTGCGTAAAAATGCATTGTCAGCGACCCATTTATAACGAAAGGTAATCTGGCGCACGGCTTTTTTCGTTCAATTTGAAAGCAGTACAATGTATTAGTAATCAGCAGGTGTCCGTCTTGTGTGAGTAGTTTCATGTTGCCGACGTAGATGTATTCAAATGGAGGTGCTAATCGGTTTGCCGGCGCACAGTCAAGTTAATCTCGCGCTGCAGTTAGGCCTGTCATGGCAGTGTTGCAAAGACGCGTGCCAGTCACCCGAGCCACTTGCACATCGCCATTGTGCCATTAATCAAAGACGTACTTCGACCTTTGTGAATGGGCTTTCCCAATTTGTACCTAATTCTGCCGGTTAACAACAAAGGCCCATCATCAAAGTGTTCCGATGACGAGTGCCAGTCACCCGCACCACTTGCACATCGCCATTGTGACATTCATCCAAGACGTGACATTTGTGAATGGGCTTTTCCAATATGTACCTAATTCTGTCGGCTTGCATTAATGAAAGGGAAACAAAAGCTCAGATTGGTCAAGCGTAATTACGATGTCTTTTGTCATCGAGTCGGGCAGATATTGGATATAAGGGGTGTAGAATATGACAAGTGATCATTACGATTATCGTACTTCTGAGCTGACTACTGATACTTCTGAGCTGACTACTGTTATCATCATGACTTCGATCAAGGTTAAGCGTAAGGGGCTGTCCCTCTCAACAAAAATGGAAATCATCAAAGCTACTGAAGCAGGACGCAAGAAGGGAGACATCGCACGGGAGTTTGGAATCGTTCCAAGCACCTTGTCGACAGTCCTGAAGAACAAGCAAGACATCAAGGCAAAGTTCGAACTTTCGAAGTTCGAACCTTCACGGCAGCGATTCCGGAATGCGACGTTTGAGGATGTCGAGGAGGCCCTCCTTCGTTGGTTCAAAGGCAACCGGTCCAAGAATTTGCCTATCAGCGGTCCCCTTCTCCGTGAAAAGGCCGACCAGTTGGCGAAGTTGTTGGGCCACAACACATTTTCCGCAAGTGCTGGCTGGCTGTCCCGGTTCAAGGAGCGCCATGGCATCATGCGTGGACCATGGCGTAGTTGACGACTGGGTGAAGGTCACCCTCCCTGGTCTTCTTCGTGGTTTCGAGCCCAAGGACATCTTCAATGCAGATGAAACTGGCCTGTTCTTCCGCCTGACTCCTGACAAGACCATGGCTTTCAAGGGCGAACAGTGTCACGGCGGCAAGCAGAGCAAGGACCGGGTCACCGTCCTGCTTTGCGCTAACATGGACGGGTCCGAGAAGCTGAAGCCGGTCGTCATCGGGAAATTTCAAAACCCACGTTGCTTCAAGAATGTCAACTACCTCCCGGTGATGTACCGTGCGAACCGCAAGGCCTGGATGGTTTCGGAGCTGTTCACCGAGTGGATCTGTCGTCTTGACCGTTGGTTTGCTAGACGGCAACGCAAAGTTTTGATGTTCGTCGACAACTGTGCGGCCCATCCGCATGTCCAGAACCTTGAAGCCGTCATCCTCGTGTTCCTCCCTCCCAACACCACGTCACACCTACAGCCCATGGACCAGGGTGTCATCATGAACTTCAAGGTGAACTACCGCCGTCAGCTTCTGCAACATCTGCTTCAGAGCTATGATTCCGGTGTCACCCCTAAAGCAGTCAACGTGAAGGAGGCCATCGACATGACCGACTTGGCATGGCGAAATGTCAAGGCGGATTGTATCGCCTGCTGTTTTGCCAAGGCGGGGTTCGTCACTGCAAGTCAAGATCCCGAAGGTCAAGATCAAGATCCCGAAGGTCAAGTGCCCGAGCAAGATTAAGCCCAAGCCAGTCAAGATCGGCCAGACAACATCTGGAGCAGATTGGCCCAGCACATCGAGCTTCCTGCGTCCTTCAACCAGTACGTACAGTCCGATTCCGTCATAGACTGTACGGAAGAACCCACCGAAGAGCAGATAGCGGAGAGCGTGACGGCCGAGAGAGCTGGTGCAGTTGAAGAAGAACCAAAAGACAAGGAGGAGGCGCCAACGGAGGAACAACGGCCAAGAAATGTCACCGACTGCCTGAGCCTAATGCACCAGGTTCGGGACTATCTCTGCAGCCAGCCCGACATGGACGACGATGTCTACGATCACGCCGCTGCAATCCTGCAGTACCTCTCCAGTAGGCAGCAAGACAAGATGTCACAGCGGAAGATAACGGACTTCTTCAAGGTGTAACATCACCTTCCAGATAAAGCAAACCAAACGGCTCTTTTCAGAGCCACCACATTTTCAAAAAAGAGATTTGAATCCCGACTCAAATAAAAATAACGAACCCCCACCCTATTACCCAGAGCAAATAAAAATAATCCCCCTCCCCCAAATAGAACCCCTTATACAAAATTGGAAATTAAATAAAACATAATTTACCCTCTCCCTCCCCGGCACAGATTTGATTTGATTTAAAAAAAAAAATGTAAGGTTAAACAAAAATTACAAAGCACCCCATTACAAATCCAAAATAAAATAAACAATCCTAGACTATCCCAAAATTCTCCAAAACGTAATTTCATTCAAAATTATTCACGACCTCCCGTAAATTACTCCCCCCTCCCAAAAAAAATATTTTCTTAAATTATTTATGAAATTATAATCAAAACTCTGCCAAAATTGTCTCATTAAAAAACTTATTCATTTGAGCACCAGCACAAAATACGTTAAGCTATTTCGTAACTTTTACAAAAAGGAACCTGCTGGGACGATAAGAAACTGATCACCATCAACGCTGGACATAATGCATACATATGCAAAGCTATGAATAAATGAACTGGTGCACGCCAATGAGCTCGTCCGCTTGCGTGACGTTGAAATCGTCAGACGTTAATATCCAATCACGATGTAAGATTATGACATCATCATTCATTAGGACACTGACTCATGAGGGCGCTCTACCAATTTGTAAAATCTACTCAGATCACGGACGGACCGGAAAATCTGGAACGTAAATGACAAAGGTTTCTCGGCCGTGTGCTTGAAAACGCTTATCACATTGTCACATTGAAATCTGCAAGACGAAAGGACAATACAATTTAAATGTCTCTCCATGACACAATTTGTGCTGGAGAGATTACTTACTTTGAACATCGAAGTGATCCAGGTCATCCGCCGTTGACTTCTTCCTCATCGATGATCAAGCAATAAAACGTCACATTTTCGTAATGTTTATTTTATTTTCGTTTCGTACATTAAACATTCTTTTTTCACTTGACACAATGATACATTTTAAACATTATTTTTTATTTGACAAATCACATCATAGAGTGCATGTTCTTAATTGCTTTCAAACAGAAAAAGTCATTGGGTACATTACGTACGTTCACAAGCGTGCACAATAGGGCCAATTCCAGGTGAACAATGGACGGGAAACATTGTATCGGATATTACGAAATTCGGATACAACGAACATTTTGGCCGGTCCCGTGGTTTTCGCTATAACGGGAGCCGACTGTATTCCGTATTCGACCATAGCCGGACCTGAGGATGCTGACAGACTACAAAGGGATTTGGACACGCTTACATCATGGCAGAACAAGTGGCAGATGGCCTTCAATGCGCAGAAATGTCATGTGTTACACGTCACTCATGCCAGATCACTATTACAATTCACATATTCACTAAATAACACTATTTTACAAGAAACAACTAATCAGACTTACCTAGGGTTAGACATAAGTCATTCATGATATGTCCTGGAACTCGCACATTGACAGAATGTCAGGTAACGCCAATCAAACTCTGGGTTATGTAAGATGGAACTTAATACACGCCTGTCCCAAACATATCTGTAAGCCAAGGACCCTGTGGGCTAGAGTTGTCAGTTATTAAATGTGGAATGAATCAATAAAACTAGAAGTATGGAATGATCTCAAACAATCAATCTTTATTCTTAGTTATTTCTTAGAACAACTCTCACAACAACAGTACAATAAAAATGCAATACAATGTTTCCAAAAAAAAACAGGATATGGTCGACCAGGCCCTATACATGTACATGTAGTTGTTTGTTCCCGGGAACTCACTCGGTGTGTGTGTACACTAATATTAAAGTAACTGTTCGGGACCGGTTACGTCTGGCAGTCCTCAGTTCAAGACTGAGTCGATCCCAATAGTTCGTGGAACTTCTGAGAGTTCAGTTGACGGGTGTCAATTTTGGTCTCACTCCACCGTAGCTCTGGACAGGCTGGAGACAATTGATGAATCCTCTTCATCCACAATCACACGACAGTCATCTAATGCTGACCTGTAACCATGGTAACTCAGTGTCTGCTGAACTCGCCGCACAGTGTGAAGCCAGTACTCGGGTTGGCCGCCGTCGACAACAGCCTCTCAGCTCGTCTCTGCTGATAGGGACACGGACACTGCTACCCCAGGTCTTATGACTTAGGAGAACTTCCTCCTCGTATTCTGAGAGATTACAATTAATAGAACATACAAATCTAAGTGCTCAAGGAAAGACATTTGACTTGAAATTTAAGATGCCAAACTACATTGGTCTAAAGCAGTAAACACCATGTGTTTGTTGGATGTTTCATTTGTTTTTAAACAACAATAAACATACACAACATGTCAATCAACATGCACAAACAAATTGCATGTAAAAAAAAATACAAATATCAATTTAGGCATAACATCTTGTTACATAATTAGAAAGTGCTTATCACATGTGTATTATTGGATAAAATCTAGTGCCTGCCTGCATAAACAGAAACATAGCACAATGCATGTTTATCCCCCAAAAACAGTTCCAGAAAGTCCCAAGTTTTATAATGGGAAATTATCATCAAGTCACAGGTTTTATAAACGGAAATAATCCACTTTGGATCAGTTTGAGAGTAAATAATAAATCTATTTCTCCACTGGTAAATATTAACAGTTCCCGATTATTTTATGCGAAAACCCGTACCATGACATATTTCATTTACACATGTACATGTAGTTGGAGCACACATACACGACACAAGATTTATATGAAAATCCCTTCCTGTGAATACATGATTGTAAGCATGAATTTAACCTCCCTCATATTCCAGTATGATATTATATCCCTTTTATGACACTCACCTGAGAGCCACAGACTGAATAAGTCACTCTTAAAGCACTTTTTCGAACAAATCTCTCGTACTTTTCAGAGAACACGTTGAAAAACGCGCAGACAAAATGGCGAACAATGCACAAGCACACTTTTGCCGCGCAACCCCAGAGGGCGCCATTCCACAGAATCACGGGCTACATATCAAAGAAATCTCATATAAAACCCTGGTCAGACCAATACTGGACTGCTGTTCCTCAGTATGGCACCCCATACCAAAAAGCTCATAGACCAACTGGAAGCAATTCAAAACAGGGCCGCTAGATTCGTCACAGGGGACTATGGACGTAAAAGTAGTGTCACAGCAATGGAAAAGGACTTAAACTGGGAAGATCTACAACAGAGAAGAACAGTATGTCGTCTCACAAACTTCCAACAAGCGATCGCAGGTCGCCTCGCCGTACCAGTGCAAAACATCCTGCGTCTGGTCGAAAGGAATCTACATGTACAATGTACATGTAAGACACACATCACCAGCTTCCAACAGCTTCATACCCATCACTACCAATGAAAACTGTTATAAATTTGCCTTCATCGCCCGCACGATCGTCAATTGGAACGCTTTTCCAGAAACCATCACTACAATCCAAGAATAACTTCAAAGAAGCAGTACACAACTACCTAAGCCAGCAAATAACTCAACACTCTCTCCGCTATTTCATCAAGCGCATCGAACCCGGCCCGGTTGGCCCCTATATTTAGGGGTGTTGGGCAGTATTGCAACAAAACAATTGTTGACTGCTGTGATGTGGGATATGCACCTGAGGCGAAGCCGAGGGTGCTATGCGCATCTTGCGGGGCGCATAGCCTTCTTGGATTCGCCTCAGGTGCTATGCGCTAGGCTTGGGAGACTAGTGCACCTAGTCACCTAGTCACCAATACCAAATGGTATAGGTAGTCATGACAATCGTTGACTAGTTGTTATTCAGCGACTTATGTTCGCGACTACTACGTGCGACTACACTCGGCACTACTTTTTTTTCCTTTAAATGTCGGCTGATGTTGCAGATGACGCTTCGATCCCCTTAAAACTCTCAAAAATATCCTTCAGAGTGGAGCTTGAGGTGACCTCAGTAAGGCTATAAGACTTAAGAATTTTGCACCCACTTACCATCTCGACAGACACGAACATTCTTCGTGGAATTTGGAAAGTCAAGACAAAAATCAGAGAAAACGGTAACGTCAGACCATACAGCGACATCGACATCGTGCACGAGCTACCAAACTGGTCATCAGTCTGCTCCCTTACATATTGTGCTAATTAAAAAGCATTTACAAGTTCCAGATACACGACCATCACTCCCTCAGTCTGGCTTCTAAACGCACAATTACAAAATTACAACACCGTCTGCAAATGGTGCCTGACTAAATTTAGTGTAAAATATATGGGAGACCAGAGAGACCACATAAAGCTTATTCTCGATCATAACCCCATCTAAAACACGTTAAAATTGTGAAGCAGCAGGATTCCAGGCAAACCAGTGAGTTTGGCGGTTTTGAGACATCATCTTTCATTGAAAAAAAACTTTTCAATTTTGCCGACACGCATGGCTACGGCGACGCGCGCACAGACCAGAAACCGGAGACTTTTTTTTTTGGCCTTAAACAATGTTATTATAGAAGCGACTAGTCAACTAGTTGCGACTTTTTATTGATAGTTGCCGCGACTACTGAAATTCAGTAGTTGCCCACACCTCCTATGCGCCTTTCGGGTGTTAAAAGCGGCATATCCCACATCACGACAGTCAACAATTGTTAAGCAGCCCAGTGAATGACGTCCATTTATATGGAACGCAGTGTATGACATTACAGACTAGACACGTGGCTGTTCTAGACCAATCAAAGTGCAGTATCCAAGCACATGATATAACAACCCTTTATGTTGACTGACTCCCACTTTGTCTATGTGTTAATATTTTGTTCAAGGGGCACTAGTTAGAAACCACAGTATAAATGTGTTTTTGCCTTGTGGCCAGGGTTCACACCCAAAGTCAATGCTTACAACATTAGTAATGCTGTAAACCTGGGAAATGGTTATTAGATTTTATTGAGATGAACCTCAAAGGAAATCTGACAAGGTTCCCCTAGTCAGTGTCACCTTGTGGTTTATTTCATTGTAACCCGTGGTTCAATTTCAAAATAACAGGAACCAAATCTTGTATTAATTTAACTCCCTTTTGAAAAAACTCTTGACTTCACACAATTTAGGATTTACGTACACAATGAAATATGTTTTATTGCCAGAAATAAAGTGGTCTCAAGCAATGGCCATACAAATGAAAATGCAGTGAGGTTAAGTATAATTCACAGAAAACACAGGATCCTGTAAGATTTAAAATACAAAGCTAGAGCTCAGAAAAAAAAGGCGCCAAACTATAAAATGGTTAGACTCGCGATTCGTCCATCCGCGGTAGTTCGGAGTCCATCATAGTGTGTAGAAGAACTTGAAGATAATTGAAGAACGATGTAAGTAGACTAGTAGACGAAGGGTTCAGTTGAAGATGAAGTAGAAATGACAACTCTCGTCATTTGTCGGTACAGTAAAACAAAGATATACTTGCGGAGTCTTGATAGATGATGTGGCTGTGTCTAGGGCAGTGCTGGTTGTTGTGTCTATGGTAGAGCTGGGTTTTCTTGGAAGACTTGGTCACTCGGATATCAAGGATCTTGGGTGGAGCTGGGTTGCTCGGACGTCTTGGTCTTGGACGTCATTGATAGTGACGGGTCTCCGACTCACTGGAGCACGTAAGAGGGTGTCAGGCGGGCAGATCGGGGAACATTCAGACAGTCCCGTCTAGGTCTCCCTTGAAGTGACATGGTCCAGTCTTTTTAGCCTAAAACAGAGAGTTACATGGTGGTCCATGCCACATTACTAATATTATCTAACACTACGAAGTCAGACCAAAATGGCTGACTTTTCTACATGTAAACAACACACTTCCGTGATCACACATCATGTGCGAAACTTTAAATTTGAATATCAACCTACATGTTAATTAACATGTATCTTCATCATAGAAAAATATCAAAGAAATCAACTTGTCACCTAGTACTTCTTAGACAATAATCTAAAGTATTCACTTTGAACGACTTTAAAACCAGGCACGATCAAAGGATTACTTTTCTCAGTCTCGTACATGAGACACAAATAAAAAATAAAGGAACTCCACCTCTTAATCGAACTGTTTATGTACGGGAAGACTAACTTCCAAAACTTGATCATGAGATAACCACAAATGTAGATCTCTAAGTTTCGGTCCACAACAAAATAATATGCAAACACCCAAAAACTAGAACCTACAATTTATATTACACAAGTGTGCATCTTTTCTTGTGTAACCCAAAACTCTATCACAAGACATCAGTTTGTGTCTTTGAGTTTGGGTAAATCAAATCACAAGAAAATAGTCAAATATTTGTTAAAGTACTTAAACAAGTACCGTAAGTCGCAACCGTGGAATAGAACTTCAACAAAATAGCTAATCAGTCCAGACTGTAGGACTTTAGTCAGTTTACCACAGAAATATCACAGATACGATGGGTGGTAAATCATGACTCCATAAAAATACAAAAATATGTACACAATGCTGAATAAAATCTGGAGCATTACTCATTTTTGGTTTGACCTCAAACCACTACATGTAACTTCAAAGATAAAATAGAAAATGCACGGATCCAATTCACTGCACAAATTTGCTAAAACACTTCTCTAAAGGTAGCAATAAAAGATGCAAAACTCTCCAATTGAATATCCTTTAAGAATCTCTCAGAACATCATTAACCTTGGTAATAATATACAAAATGGTTAGTCTCTCTCTCATGAATTTGTCTAGCCTTACTAAAATGTGTGAAGTCCAGACTTCATAGAAAAATCAATTTAAGCGATTCTCTTCACAACTTACAAAAGTCACAGTGAAAAGGTAATGACTATGATAATATAAACATGATAAATAATTACTCAACTTACCTAAAACAGAGAGCCAACATTCGTGCAAAAAGGAGGGAACTTGGAATCAGGATCCTCCAATCGAACAACAAAATGATGCAAAATGGCTGGTGAAAATGGTAGGCATGCAGTCAGCACGGTGGCAGAATCAGGAATGCCAAGCTCTGCTAAAATTTTGGGGCAGCTAGCACCAAGACCATGCCCTGAACACATGACTAGCCAGGCTCTCATTGGTCAAACTTCAAATTGTCACACAAGACTCTAATGCCGATTGGTCATTTAGTAACCAGGCAGATGAACACTCAGCAGAGTTTGTGGTTTTCACAGCTTCTGCAAGGTGTGATCAACAACCAGGGATTAAGTGTCCCTACATCCTGCTCAGCTCCTGGAGGAGTACACAACTGGGGCACCAGTCAGTAATAAAAGGCAGAGGACACAAAAGACATCCTCTATTCTTCCAGGAAGTGGGCAAGATCAAAGACAGGCTTTAACAAAAGTAGGAAAAGATCAAAGGTCTACTGGAACACAAGTCACCAGTAGAAAAGATGAAACATTTTAAAAGATTAGAAAAGGGAAATTATGCAAATAGTAAACACAGTCATATAAAATAATACTATAACATGGTTACATCATGATTCAGAAAATTTGGCTAATACATGTGAGGGAATAAATAATGTGTTTGGCCTGTTTTTTTACAAGCACGTTTAAAGGGAATGTACAACATTTGCTTTTGCTGCAATTTTCAGAAATAAATGGATTTGGAGGATTAGTATGTTATAGCAAATATTGTTACACTGACTTGTGTCACGTTTTGGGTTCGTAGATGCTGGAAAAAGCAAGAAAACCAATCATATTCTTGTAGTCTGGTTCCCAGACCCCAATTAAGATGAAACGGAGCAATTTATAGACTTTGGGGAATTGTACGATCAAAGAATCAGTCTAGCAGGCTTGTAGTCTTCACAGGTGTGTAATCAATTGCAAAGAAAATGCAGACAAACTAAATATGAAAAACTAGGAGCATTTAAAAAAAAAAGCCAGTTTTCTCCAATGCTGGTCAGCCTGAAACATAAAGTTTTTCTTGAAAATGTCAGCACACCAGGAGCCACAACTTTACAGGATGCATTAGACTGCATTCCTTAACAATCAAGTAAGATATTTCGTGATAATTTGATCATTTCATTTTTTGATATTTGCAAATGTTGTATCTTCCCTTTAAAGCCAGTTTGAGGACTTTTAATTCATGTTTTGTGAAACACCCCTCTAGCTACGTTAATGGGGTGTGCCTCTTGTGAGTTGTACTAAAAATCTCCTTATATGGGGATTGGCGTGCGCATGGCCCAGAACCCGGCGGTGCCGGTGCAGTGTGAATTTAGGACTCTATGAAATATGGACTCACTGGTAGTATTGCGCATGCCTAAGTGAATATTGTGAACGTTCAACCAATAAAAGGGTAAAAGGGACCAGATTTCTGAGGAGTCCAAATTCATGTGACGCCGGGAAAAAAGTGTTTTAAAAGCAGTTGGTGTTTTATCAACCGTTTAAAAGCACCCAACCGTTTAAAACCACCCAGGGGTTCAACGGGTTAGGATGTGCTGGGGTGGAATGGAGAACTGAGCAGCTCCATCCCCACTGAAGTATCCCATCTTAAAGCACTGCGTCTCAACATTAGCCTCTCCTAATCAAATCCTACTGTCTGGCTTCTCGTGCCAACCCTGTTTCTACTAAATGACAGAGGGTGCAAGCGTGTTCCTGGCACTATAACCAGGTTACTCCGGGTAGGTGGAGCTCGTTAGCTTTGGTTGGCAGTTCACCTAGGAGGACAACTCTGACCACAAACCCGGGTAGGTAGAACTTGTTAGCCTAGATCGGCAATCTGCCTAGGAGAAGGACAACTCTGATCACAAACCTGGGTACGTAGAACTCATTAGCCTTGTTCGGCAGTCTACCATCTGTTTACATCTGTTCACTTAGGTCTCACTTGTGGCTCCCCATAGCTGTCAGCATGCGACAGCGGTCACTTCTGGGACAACAGCTTTGATGGCTAAACCAGGTGTGAAACCACAAATTAGGGCTTAATGTGACTACCCATACATGTGGGACATGTCTATCCCAGCAAGTAAAGACTGGATGCGGCAGAGCGAGTAGATGAGATCAACAGAGATCCCACGGTCATGAAGGCGACGACAGCAAAGCGTTGTGGAGCGCTCAGGGCACGGCAAGACACTATAGTCGTCGTGGCCATCCACTGCAGCCAAAGAAGTCTCCAGTCATGACCGCTCTTTTGTACCACCGGAACCGGCTTCCTAGGCCGAGAGTGTGGGATTTGCCCCTGTGCATCGACTTTCCCACTATAAACGCTTCCCGCACAGGTTACTATGTGCAACTCTCCTTAACTTCTCTATTTTCAAAGCCCTGTGGCGATGGGGAAGGGGCGAATGCAACAGGTGGAGGTGACCACTGGGAGTTGTAAGTTCCAACCCTGCACACAGGCGGCCTGTCGACAATAGTCGCTCTTTCTCTGACTCTGGGACAACAGAGGAGTTCGGCGTTCTCCCAGGCGACTGAGCAGCCCTTTTTAGGATAGCACTGCTCACCCTCACAGGAGGGAGGAGACTAAAAAAGGTGTCTCAAACATTGCTTGTCCCAACTCAAACTGGCCAGCTAGCCGCGGTTGGCAGTTTTTACCCATCCAGCGGTCGAAAACGGAAGAAAAATAAAAAGATATTTGGAGCATGGAACGTCCCAACACTAATTGACAAAGAGACCGCCACAAGACCTGAGAGGAGAACAGCCCTCATAGCAAGAGAACTGGCACGGTGCAGCATAGACGTCGCTGCGCTCAGTGAAACTAGGCTTGCAGAAGAAGGATCTGTTGCTGAACCCAAGGGCGGCTACACTTTTTTCTGGAAAGGCAAGGCCCAAGACGAGAACAGAATCCACAGGGTGGGACTAGCCATTAAGACGACACTTCTTAGCCAGCTACCAGATCTCCCTACCTCCATCAACGAGCGGCTGATGAAATTCCGTTTTTCTCTCAACCCCTCTCGTCATGTCACAGTCATCAGCGTCTACGCCCCCACACTAACCAGCAGCGAAGAAGTGAAGGAAACCTACAAGGATCTCGATCACCTTGTGAAGGCCACCCCCTCTGGAGACAAACTCATCCTGCTGGGCGACTTTAATGCCAGAGTCGGCACTGACTACAGAAATTGGAAAGGCGTGCTGGGCCCACATGGCATTAAGAAAACGAACACCAACGGCATGCTGCTCCTGAGCCTCTGTGCAAAGAACGACCTGACCATCACAAACACCCTCTTCAGGCAAGCAGACAAGTACAAAACAACTTGGATGCATCCGAGGTCTAAACAGTGGCACCTGATTGACTATGCTATCTGCCGCAGGCGGGACGCCCGAGACTTCAGAACCACAAGGGCCATGCGAGGAGCCGGGTGCTGGACCGACCTCCGCCTGGTTAGGTCGATCCTCACGCTGCACATCGCCCCCAACCATCAGAAGAAGCCCAAGCTCGTCAGGCCGTCCTTCAACACGGATTAGCTGAGACATCCTGATCTGCGCGACCACTTTGCGACCAGTCTGGACGACAAGCTGACCTCCCATGGACCTCTGACTGGAAGCGCAACACAACAGTGGGACCAGTTCAGAACGATGATGAAGGAGACAGCCCAGTCAACACTCGGACCAAAGAAGAGAGTCCACCAGGACTGGTTTGATGAGAATGATAAGGCCATCGCCCAGCTCCTTGACGACAAGCGGAAAGCATTCATGGCGTGGCAGAACGACATGTCCTCCACCTCCAAAAGGAACTGCTTCAAGCAGCTCCAGAGTCAAGCTCAAGCTGCGCTCCGCTGTATGCAGGATGAGTGGTTGGAGAAAAAGGCAGATGAAGTCCAGCTCTACGCCGACACCAAGAACTCTAAGATGTTCTTCAGCTCCATCAAGGCAGTGTATGGACCATCCAAACCAAGCACCACCCCTCTCCTGTCAGCAAACGGAACACTGCTGAAGGAGAAGAGCGCCATCAACAAGAGGTGGAGGGAACACTTCAGCACCCTCCTCAACAGACCATCCACTGTCAGTGCAGATGCCCTGAACCAGATCCCCCAGAGGCCCACAATCAATGCCCCAACTTCCCTCCCACCCTGCAAGAGGTCAAGAAAGCCATCAGCCAGACCAGCTCGGGAAAAGCTCCTGGGATGGATGGGATTCCCGCAGAAATCTTCAAGACAGTGGGGCCAGTGGCGCTTGAAACCTTCCATAGTATTCTCCTTGGCATCTGAGAGGAAGAGGACATGCCCCAGGAGTTCAGGGATGCCACTATTGTCTCCCTCTTCAAGAACAAAGGCAGCAAATCTGACTGTGGCAACTTCCGAGGCATATCTCTCCTATCTATCGCTGGGAAGGTCTTGGCACGCATCATCCTCAATCGCCTGGTCACCGCCATCTCAGAGGAGAACCTGCCAGAGGCACAGTGTGGCTTCCGCCCAGGCCGCAGTACTATTGACATGATTTTCGCAGTCCATCAGGTGCAAGAAAAATGCAAGGAACAGAATATGGACCTGTATGCAGTCTTCATCGACCTGACCAAGGCTTTCGATACTGTCAACAGAGAGGCCTTGTTGATAATCCTTGGAAAATTTGGCTGTCCGAGGAAATTTGTGAGCTTGATCCGCCTGTTTTATGACAACATGACTGGCCTAGTACTTTCTGGCGGAGAGGCGTCTGAGAAGTTTGAAATCTCTAATGGCGTGAAGCAAGGGTGCGTTCTCGCTCCTGTGTTCTTCAATCTCTTTTTCACCTGTGTCCTCAGCCACGCTGTCCGAGACATCAAGGACGGTGTATACATGAAGTACAGACTGGATGGGTCGCTCTTTGACCTACGTTGCCTGACAGCAAAAACAAAGACATTGAGGGGATCATATTAGAGGCCCTCTAACATAACGAGCCCGCCCTTCAGCTGATTGTTGACAAATTTGCTGAGGCATCCCGCCTGTTTGGCCTCACCATCAGCCTTGGCAAAACAGAGGTCCTGTTCCAGTCCACCCTGTTATCTGTGGCTTCCCGCCCCTCCATCTCCATCGAGGGAACAGAACTGAAGACTGTAGATGACTTCAAATACCTCGGCAGTGTCATTTCCAGCGATGGCTCCCTTGACAAAGAGATCAACGCGAGGATCTGCAAGGCAAGCCAAGCTCTCGGCAGACTGAGATCTTGTGTGTTGAAACAGCACAACATCCGGCAGACCACCAAACTGAAGGTGTACAAGACAGTTGCCCTCACCAGCCTCCTTTATGGATGTGAGACCTGGACCTTGTACAGGAGGCACATCAAACAGCTGGAACGCTTCCACGTACGCAGGCTGAGGTCAATCCTCGGCATCCGGTGGCAGGATAGGATCACGAACCTGGAGGTCCTGGACAGGGCAGAGACTACAAGCATCAAAGTTATGATCTTAAAAGCCCAGCTTCGATGGACAGGGCATGTTATCCAAATGGATGACTCCAGAATCCCCAAGCAGATCCTCTATGGCGAACTCTGCTTAGGCAAAAGAAACTGGGGAAGGCCTAAGAAGCGCTTCAAAGACAGTGTCAAGGCCAACATCGTCCATGCTGGAATACCCCCGAAGCAGCTAGAGGAGCGTGCACAGGACCCGGCAGGATGGCGTGCTGTGACAAAACAAGCAACCGACAGCTTTGAAAAAAGCCGCCGAAATAGTGTCATGGAGGCCCGGGAGAGGAGGAAGGCAGCTGCAGCAGCAGTACCCACAGCGCCAGGCCAGTTTCTCTGCTCTCACTGCGGATGCCTATGCAGATCAAGACTGGGACTCCACAGTCATATGAGAGTCCACACCACTTCCAAATGAGAGGCACATAGACAAATTTATCGTCGGACACGACAGACTACCAATAAATAATAATAAAACCACCCACGTGACAGGCTCTTGACCAATTATATCTTGACCAGGTATTTATGAATACTAAATAAAAACCAAACGATAAACCAAAACAAAAAGAGGATATCATGTGATTTTGGCAACTCCTACCTTAGGCGTGGGGTCCCTCACCGCCCAGTTCCCAGACGGTCTGGGCTAAGCCCCGCCCGCTCCGAGAAAGGGATTGGGACTCCCTTCCAAAGTGGGCGGGCTCGGATTAAGAGAACGAAGTACAAGTCTGACTGGTGGGCCCTCTCCTGAACCTAACAAAAGAAGCAATTTGCAAGGCGATAATCCTCACTGCCGGGTAACAAAGACCCGGCAAATCAAAGTGCGCGCCGCCGGTAATCCCTCCCGTGGACTGCTATTGTTGGTGACCCATTGCACTCGCAGTCCTATTTGAAAAGCTTGAGTGATCAGTGAACATGAGTTTCAATTAGTTACGCGGTACGTTTTTCTCCCCTTAAATGTATACAAATGTATATGGACTAGCACCGATGAATCCCTGAATCTGACTTTTAAAGCAAACGGGGTTGGTATTTTGTTCAGTATTAAGATCAGAATTCCCCAGTTTGTTCTATCTACGTGCATTTATTTATTTTTCATATAATCATAGCCAGGGCAAACCATAGTTGGCCAGGCGCTGTAATCCTTGAACAATAACTACCACTAATCCGTTGATAACGACCAAGAGAGCCACTCCAGTCAACCAAGCTCACGCTTGAATAAGTCATTCCCACCCGCTTCTCGAGCGTCACGCTTGAATAAAAGAGTGCCCACTATTCATACTGATCGGGGCTACCGAGTGGGCCACTTCATACCGATCGGGGGCCAAGCCCACCCCACCCGCTTCTATTCTCAAACGGGTATCAGACTTTTCTGTTTAAAATGCGTATGAATTAACGTGAATAAGGGGCAAGTGCGGTGTTGTAGTCTAAAATTCAAAAACATCACGTTATTACCACACGCAAAACAATTCATATTCGTCATATGGGGAATACTTTATTTCAAATAATACAGAATGAGGTATTTCGTACATTTGATCAATTCCGAGAATATAATTATCGAACATCGTATTTCGAAAATTCAAAGAAAAAAAAATCACAACTTGATCATCTAGCTTTTTAACCATTGTTTATATATAGAACTTTGCAAACTAGGCAGTTGTATCAAGTTTATTTGTCAAATGATTTCATGCAAAAACAAAATACTTGCATTCTATGAAGATAGAAAAGAATAAAATTCCACACCAACCCAACCTGAGTTGGGCGCTGTAATCCTCGAACAATAACCACTAATCTGTTGATAGCAACTATTGTTGTGACCCAGGGGCCCACTCCAGCAGTCAACCGAGCCCCACGCTTGAGTAACCGGGCGGGTACAGTGTTCGAAGCGGGCGGCAGCTTACTGGGCGGGCCGAGCTCGCCCGGTTCTCGAACGGTCCCATTCCGGATCTCATTCCTTAGCTGATCAGGTGAATCTTATAAGGAGAAATGAAAAATATAAAGTTTATTACAGCTGCCAGGTACTTTAAGAAAAGCAACACATGATCGAAAGCCGAGTTCTAAGTGGTCCATTCACCATCACGTTTTATCCACTGGTTTTACTGCTGACTAAGTGCGCATGCAAGGTTTAACGCACAGATTAAATTTGCAGGCGAAGTAGACTATCGCCAGTGTTGTACCCAAGTCATTTTTTTTCACAAGTCAAGTCAAGTCAAGTCACAAGTCAAATTTTTCAACCACAAACCCTTAAACCATGTTTTAAAACATGGCTTTAAAATATTACGGGTTGAAAGTCGACTTCCACTTGGTATTGGAAGTTGACTGACTAGTTCCCTCGGCCAGCTCTGGGAGCTAATAAACCTGTGGGAGCTAGTATTGATTACCAACCCTCAAAGCATGTTTCATTTGTATACTGATACATTTGTTTTGTTTGTTCAAGCTCTATTCTGATCACATCTTAGAATTGGAGCCTTTCTCTTCTTTCTTTTGTTTGTTTGTCTGGTTTGTCTTTTAATGAAAACTCTCAAATTGCTTTTCTTCTGAATGGTACATTGAATTTAAAATAATAAATGTCAAACCTAAATCAAATCAATTGATCAATGCTAATCCCATTCTCTCATTCATTCAAATTAGACTACAAGTTGTTTTGCTGAGACTGTGCAGGAGATTGATTTTGCCATACTATGGGCACCATACGTACATGTACATTTGTTCCCACAGAATTGGACTATTCTTCCCATCATACCTCTGCATGATAAATTGCTAGGTTTTTGGGGGTTTGTTTGGTTAGGAGTTGGTTGAGTTCGGGGTGGGTCTGGTTGGTCTGATTTGAAGCCCTTTGTTTATTTTGCTGTTCATGATTTTTATATTTCATCAGGCTGTTGATGCTGACCATAGTGGGTCTATATCTGCAACAGAACTAAGACAAGCCCTGGTCAATGGCAACTGGTCCCACTTTAATGAAGAAACATGCAGGTTGATGATTGGCATGTTTGATAAAGACAGGTTGGTCAACTCAGTGATTATTTTAATGAATTATATCTTGTACTTGTTACATAATTTGTAGTTGTAACAGTTGAAGGAGAAATGCTTTTGTCAGGTTCGTATGCACTGGGTTTGGAGTGGTATTTGTACTGCAAAGATTAGTGAGTACTTCAATGGACCTTATTCACGAGGTAGCCATTTTTGTCGAGTTCCCTAAATGTATTTCATAAATTGTTAACTGTTGAATGGGATGGCGCCAGACTTTTTATGCATCCTTATTTTGCTTTCATTTTGTTTTTAATCTGGCTTAAAACATTAGGGAATGTTTAATTACAAATGTTAAATTAGTCATTTAAGCAGACTTTAATTAGTTAGTAATGTACTTGCTTTCATTTCTCTTAAGATTTTACCTCACTTTCAATTCAACATGGCTGACTCATGAATAAGGCCCATAGTCCTAATAATAATAATACAAAATATTGATATCGCGCTATACGAAGAACAGAGCGCCTTACAATAACAAAGAGGGGAGAGATGTGAAAATGTACACAATACAAAAAGCAAACTAACAATTACAAACTAACAAAGTAAACAAGCATATCAGGAAGGTTCTGGGAAAAGAAATGTCTTGAGGAGGCATTTAAAGACAGGCAACAAAGCAGCTTCTCTCAGACTTGTGGGGAGCATGTTGCACAGGCGGGGCGCTGCGACTGCAAAGGCACTGTCCCCGGCCTTCCTTTTAGATCTAGGAATGGAAAGCCGGGTCAAGTCTGAGGATGAGCGGAGTCGATGCCTGTGTACATCAGGGACAGTATCGTTATGTAAGTGTATTAAATCAGCAAGGTAAGAGGGAGCTTGAGCATTAAGAATTTTGTAAATGAGTGTGAACATTTTGAAATGAAGTCTTTGTTTAACATGAAGCCAATGCAGCTCTGCCAGCAGGCTACCAGAAGGCTGGTCCCATCCACATGCCCAGACTAGCCGCGCTGCCTTATTTTGCAGGCGTTGTAGGCGTTTCAGGTCAAGTTCACGCACTCCAAACAAAGTAGAATTGGCGTAGTCAAGGCGGGAGAGGACCATACTTCTGACAGCATGATGGCAGGCTTCTTGTGTGAGAAATCGGCGGATGTGGCATAGGTTCCGAATGTGAACATTGACAATTCTACAAATATAGCTGACATGATTAGACATGTTCAATGAACAATCCAGGATGATGCCTAAATCTTTAATAGATGTGGAAGTGTGAATAAGGAGATCTTCTAATCTTAACTCAATGTTGGTGATAGAGGGAAGTATGCGATTATTGGCAAATACAAAGAACTCTGTCTTATTCTGGTTGAGTTGCAGCATGTCCTAGTCCTATGCTTTTAGCCAGTTTAGATATTAAAAGTACAACATAGTATCAATTAACAAATAATCTCTTTAACCCTCCCTCTCTCAGTGCCAAAAGGACTATCTGTCAAATCTATCAAGTGATACTTTTTAAACAGTTTTGCAAATTGGGCTCATATTGGTAGAATTGACAGACTGTGGCAATTTTGTCAACTGAAAGTACCATGCCTTGACTGACAGTAATATGGTGGGTTTAAGTACAGCTGAGTGCCTGGCAATGATTGATTTAATTCAGTAACAATGAAGGCACAAAATGTTCACTCATGCATATCACAGCAAAACAAAGGCATTAGAGGGCAATGGCTGCTACGCATAAGGTCTATAGAATTGCAGTACAAGTTATGGCAGTATTCAATGACACCCTGTCTGTCATACCCCAGGGGTTCTGGCAGTTGGTGACCAGTCTGTACAAAAGCTATGGGAGAGGAATCGGGTTTGTTTTTGGACAGCTTGTGACAGCTCTATCAGTAGGAGGTTTAAATTAAAGGCCACAGAAATGATAAAATCTTGCTTAAGTTTACATTGTACTCATATATTGAACTGTTGTAGCACATTGGCTCGCCATCCAGAATAGCTGATGTTTGTGTGAAGACTTTTGGTAAATAAAATGCTGATCGGCAATACGTCTTGAGAAATGCAGCCAAGCTACTGAAAAGGAATCAGTACAAGGGATCATCCATCTACATCTCTGATGATGTCACAAGCAAAGTCCGGAACTTTGCCATGTATATGGAAAGACGGGCATGGGCAATTTTCGTACAAACCGTGGTCCATCCCAGTCCCACCAGTCTCACATGGGGTAGTTGCTCTTCTCAGTGTGATTAACTTGTTACAAAAAGAGCTATTCGTATTATATGTAATGCCAATTATCATGACAACACTAATCCCCTATTTGTCAACGTCAAGCTCTTACCGTTTAATGACCTTTAATATCTGAATGTGGGTAAACTCATGTATGAATATTCATATACTAGAAGTGTTTCAAAGAAAAATCTTTATGTTTGTTCCAATAGAACTTCAATGTTAAAAAATAGCCTTGTTTAAAACATCTCCAACTTTACCTATATTCGTAAAAAAGCTAAAAACTCAATTCCTCAACTCTTACAATATTTGAAAATTATTATCTTACTCCTGCTTGTTATGTTCTTGTTTGTCCTTGTGGTTTGTCCCTATTCGTTACATGTATTGTAATTTTCTGTCCAAAGGTTGGGGAACAAAAGCTGTGCTTCACCCTACACCTAACGTTCCATTGTGTATTTTGCTGATTCATATTCTAAGGTAGATTCAATTCTTGTTTTTACATGTATTTATAAAAATTAATTTTTATATTATGTTAGAAACAATGTTGATTAAATGTCTAGCAAATTTGAATTGGAAAAAACTATTTAAAAAATATTAAAAAATAATGTTAATAACCACACTAAAACATTTTTTTTAAAGTGAGGCTTGGAACGCAGGCCAATCATAAAATTGTCTGGCACCATCCCATTCAGCAGTTTATAGTTTATCATAAAGATTCAGGGAACAGGATTGAAGATGACTTCCATGTGAATAAGGTCTATTATGGGTGTACAGTTGATTTTGTTTGTAAATTTAGAGGTGCTATACAGGTTTTTTTTCTTCATATGTGTGGTGTTTTTTTTTGGGGGGGGGGGGAGTGTGGAAAAATACCCCCAAAGCAAGCCTGGAATATTTGTATGCAATAACGTCCCTTCATACAATTGTGTCTACGTATTGAGTTGTCTTCTAGCATGAATTGTGTACATACAACATACAGGCCAACAGGGAATGAGAATCTGAACTGCCACACTGCATATTAACAGACTGAAGATTTTTTGTTTCCCACTAGAAGCAGTGGCGTAGTAAGGTCATATTTATAGGGGGGTGGTAGACGTGAAAAGGATACTTGCCCTATTCTTGCTGAAAGGTAGACAATTTTGTTTTCCACTGGTCACCTGGCAGAAAAGGGGGGGGGGGGGTGGTGCTGGACACCATCTTTCTATGGGGGTGTTGTTCAAACAAGACGATCGTGGGCACTATTGGACAAAATGTGGCACTTTTCAGGGCGGCACAATTGCCAATGTTCACGCGACATTCCTAAAGGGCACTCGTTAAGAAGGCGACTGGTGAAAAAGGGCACTTGTGTAAAAAAAAAAAAGTGCCACTCTTTACAATATATTGAGAGGGGGGGCCGCTGGTGAAAAGGGGTACTTATGTACAAAGGGCACTCTTTAAAAAATAGGGGAGGGGGGGTTTAAATACCGCCCTAAACCCCAGCTGGCTATGTCATGAGAAGGGTATTGTGGTAAAAATTGTTGAAAACACTCAAACTCTCCTATATTCGCACATACATTATTTGGTGAGATTCATGAGCCTTTTGATTATATATACATATATCTTTACATTAGTCATCTTCTCAGAATTAAAAGTGTTTCTTTTCATATTTAAGCATTTTCTTTTCTTATTCTAGAAATGGAACAATAAATTTTAGCGAGTTTGCTGCGCTGTGGAAGTATATCCAAGACTGGAAAAGTTGCTTTGAAAGGTCAGTAATTGATTTTGTAACTATAGAATATAAAGGCAGAATGAGACAACTGTACATTTGTACTTACTCAATATTGTGATTTTAAAGCATATATTGCCATTTTCTTTCCCAACATCATCATCAACATCATCACATATATACAACTCTTTTTGCAGAAATATGGATTGAATATGCACAATTATTTCTTAAATCCACTTGTTTTGGTTATGCCATTAGCTCAAGTAATGCGAGGTACCATTTGACTAAGAACATTTTTGCAAATACTAGCAGAATATACAACATGGTCATTCCTTGCTAAGCCTGAATTTCGCAGAGGTTTTCAGTTGAGTGCCTCAAATCAAAATAAAACATGTTTTAAACATAACCTCATCTTGCAAGCACACAAATGCTAGCTTTCAGCGCTGAGTTGTTTTTGCATCATGGTCTCTTGAAAAGACAGCCGTACATGTACCTCCTTTTACCCATTCTGAGTGGGTCACTGAATTGTAAAGAAAAAATCACACTTCCATTCAGGGTCACTGAATTTGTTTTAAAAAAAACATCGTCACAATTGCATAAGGGCAATTCCACGGTAGCTCACGTTGCATTTGGAGCGGGTCTTCTGTCAACTCTGTGCTGTTATTCTATAAGCCAAAGCAGTTAGGGTGGACTTTTTTCACAGAAATTAAGTGACTAAACGCCAACAAAATGAACTTCTATTGGTTTGGCAATGAGTTTTTTTATTGGCAAGTCACGTTACACAAAAAGGACATGGAAAAATTAAATACCTTACATTTGAGGGTTTTACTCATACTGTGCACTGATGGAAAACTTCTTTTTTTTAGATTTAGTGCCCTTACATCATTAGATTACAAGTCATATTCTACCATTACAATTATCAAAAAATAATCAATTATAAAATCTGAGAGAGGTATATATTGTGGCAACGCACGTTGCGGTCACTCACATTACAGTCCGTCCATCTTTGGTACAGGTTTAAACATTTAAGAAACTTATAATCCGAAAAACTCTTTAGGCATAGATAATAAACCTTTTTCTCTTTCACTAAAAAAACCTCACAATAACACTTGCATTTTGCATGTAAAAACAAGGTTCCAAAATGACTACCTAAAATCCATACTTTACAGGTGAAATACCATTTTTTTGAGAAACAAATAAACTTAACCATATTCCATCTCACTGGCACATCATTTAAATCAAAGTTCTTGTTGTCCCCTTTAATTTGATACCACATTTGGGGTTATGGTACCTATATTTTTAAGATTTTCATAAACTTTCCATTTTTCAGCCATGTTCACATTATCATGGTATTGCCCATAAGATACTTTAATTTAAAAGGGTGCACAGGAAATGATATCCAATATGTAATATTCTTATTTCCTAATTCGCAAGCTCAAACGGAAATAAATTATTTCCTATTGCGCCTGTCATCCCTCACTGTAAGAAAACATGTTAAATACACATATATATGGGGAGCACGGTTCTTCGATGAGCAGCCGACGGAGTCCGTGAACTTACAACGTACTAACAATTTTTCTAACTCACCGTGAGTCTCGACCAACATCGATTATATAATATCGCATTGTTTACTCTTACCTCACCTTCTTGTGACTTTCATCACAAAAAGTTAAAAGACCTTAAGTGTATTTTGTCTGTGTGTGATAATTAAACACCACTTCTGGAAAGGTGTCCTCGGAACCTCGCAACTGCTTTTTCTTGGAGAAAAGTAAGGACGTCTGTATCGGCTGTGGTGAAAACCGTCAATGGCTGCCTGCACGCCTTGCTGCTGCACAGCTCCACTCAAGCAGAACACTTCCTCATCTGCATAAGAAAGAACACTCCCAGCCGAGTACTCCCTGCTATTCAATAGGAAAATACAGTTCTGCCAAAAGTATGCCATCAGGAGTCCATTTAAAATGATTTCAGATTAAACAAATATAAGAAATATCCTGACAGATCACCACCAGTGTTGTAGTCAAGACCAGGAAGTCTGAGACCAAGACCAAGACTGAGACCGACAGTCCGAGACCAAGACCAAGACCAGGCCGAAAAAAGCAGTCCAAGACCAAGACCAAGACCAGGCCGAAAAAAGCAGTCCAAGACCGAGACCGACAGTCTGAGACCAAGACCAAGACCGGATTTATAAATAAACACATGTAAATCATCTTTGTATAAGTTATGTTATTGTATTAAGGGCCTATGCACAAACAAAACAAAACAGACAAAAATTAAATAAAGAATTGAATAAATCAAGAAAGGAATATGAAATTGAATGAAGGCTCACATTACTGAACCAACTACAACTTTAAAGAGGTTGTGGAATGCTCGAAGACATTTCCGTCATTTTTTGGGTATATGTAGCCTAAGGTGTGATGAAATAAAAACGACCAATGTGTCTGTCATGAAATGAGTACAAAAGGTACTTTTTTGAGAGCTGTTTTTCAGGTCCTGTTTCGACCTGAACGTGCAATTTGTGTAAAAAGCGTCGTTGGGGGCAGCAAACAAAACATAGTAAATCGTGACATAATAAACAGGACTCCGGATGCAGCGTAGTATAAACAAGTCCTGTTTATTATGTCACGATTTTTCTCATTTTACGAAGAACCCGACGACTGTTGATTTCAATTATGCGCTCGCCGACCAACAAATTACTTGATGAATTTCAGTTTTATAAACATATAAACGCACACTACAAAAGAATGGGGCTTTGTCATTATGATATATATATGGGTCAACTCTACGATAAAAAAAATATAAAAAACAAAACGACTTTCAGCATTCCACAACCTCTTTAATAACAATAGTACTTCCAGTGTTAAAGGGAATGTACAACATTTGCTTTTGCTGCAATTTTCAGAAATAAATGGATTTGGAGGATTAGTATGTTACAGCAAATATTGTTACACTGACTTGTTTCACGTTTTGGGTTCGTAGATGCTAGAAAAAAAGGGGAAAAAAAATCATATTCTTGTAGTCTGGTTCCCTGACCCTACTAAAGATGAAAGGGAGCAATTAATAGACTTTGGGGAATTGTCAAATCAGAGAATCAGTCTAGCAGGCTTGTAGTCTTCACATGTGTGTAATCAATTGCAAAGAAAATGCAGACGAACTAAATATGAAAAATTAGGATTACTTTTTGAAAAAAGCCAGTTTTCTCCAACACTGGTCGGCCAACCAGCGTTGGAAAAATACAGTTTTTCTTGGAAATGTCAGCACACCAGGAGCCACAACTTTACAGGATGATTTAGACTGTCAGTCCCTAACAATCCAGTTAGGTATTTCGTGATAATTTGATAATTTCGTGTTTTGATGTTTGCAAATGTTGTATCTTCCTTTTAAATTGGGCCAAAATGCACATAAAAACAAATGCATATTGAAAATCAATCATGAAACACAGATTTGTGTTGTTTGGACAGTTTTGGACACTACCGGTAATTTAGCTTTATTAGACTTTTAAAGAAATTGAAACAAACATGTCATAGACATTAGACAATAACAATAACAACCACGCAAGGAAGAAAACCTAGCTAGGCCTACATAGGGTGATGACGCCGCACATATTTGATGAAGGCAGACGTTGTCCCTGCCTTATCGCTGATAGTGAGGTACCTTAGTGACAAAAATACCAAGGATCGTGACACGGTGGACAAAAGCACCATTTTTTCACCAAAGCATCTCCATGGTATACCTTTTCGAAAAAAAGACGGATGCAAAAAATTGGATGATGGGAAGGGCATGTATGACGTCATTATGACGTCATCAGCTAATTATTACATGAAAAACATATAAATTGATAATATCTTCAGAACGACAAGCATCACAACAACAAATGTGGTATCATATTAAAGGGAACAACAAGATCTTTCATTTGAGTGGTATGTCAGTGGGATGAAATGTAGTACAGGGTGTTTTTTTGCCAAAAATCCCTTTTTTGGTAAAAAAAAAACAAAATTGGTGCTCAAATCAAGGATTTGGGGTTATCATTTTGGCACCTTGTTTTAACATGCAAACCGTAAGTGGTATTGTGAGTTTTGGTTCTTAAGTCAGAGAGAATGGTTCAAATACTATGCCAAGAGAGTTTTCGTAATTGATTATTGGTATCTTAAATGTTTAAACTTATTCCAAAGATAGGCGGACAAAAAAATGTAACATAAGTTACAGTCTGGTGCCCATCCCAGTGTATCTAAGTTACAGATTCATCACATGTCTCGTTGTCGAGCTTGGAGGGGTTGGGCAATCTGCCGGGTGCATCTGCGATCACCATCATAGCACCAGGTCTGTAGACATCGTCGAAGTTGTATCCTTGTAGCTTAAGACGCTGCAAGCGGTGTGGTGTATTGGCTAGGATTTTGCGCCAGATCGTAACCAATGGTTTTAATGGTCAGTGACAACAATGAAGTTGGAGCCGAATGAAGTTGCAGCAGTGTCACAGCTTCCCTCTCGATATTCGAGAATATGCTCTGGGAAGAGGATCTATAGGATCTTTGAGGAAAATGCGATGGATTTACCTTCCTGGGTGTTGCCCAATCCTCTTTCAGATGCATCTACCTTGAGGATGGTTTCTATACCAGTGTGTCGGAGAATCGTAGCCAGGACTGAGTTGAGATGGAGTGTTCAAGGGTTGTAAAAGAAGCTTGATGGTCCTCTTCCCAGAGAAATGGTACATCTTTTCGAAGAAGATCGCTGAAGGGAGCAACTTTGTCTGTGCAATTTGGGGTGTAGTGTGAGACATTGTTGACTATGCTAAGGAACCAGCAGTTTCCATCAGGGTGATGAGACATTCGACCGTTCGTCATGCTCTTCAAGGGAGACCGAATACTGCAATGTCGTCGCGGTGATTGTTCCAACGCATCAAGCCATCTAGCTTATTTTGCCATCAATATTTTTTGGGACTATTATCTTGGCTTACTGATAAGCCGATGAATGGGCGACGAAAGCTGTTAACTACCTAATTGTACATGTATGTTGTCAGTTTTTCAGACTGCCCTAGATGAGCAGACCAATACCCTGCTTTTGACGTCTAGCTTGGAGGAGAACCTTTCCAGTGCAAATTCTGGCTTGAGCTCCTCAAGAGTGGGGATCTTTAGAAAACAT